CCATCGCCATAAATTGTAAGCATTCCACCGGCCGTCCCTTCTGCAGTCCTGCACTCCTCTGACCCTCTCCCCTCCCCTGCAGATACCTCCCGACCCCAGCGGCCCGGGGAGAGTAACGGCGTCGACTACCACTTTGTGTCGCGCGCCGACATGGAGGACGGCCTGGCGCGCGGACGGTTCGTCGAGTTCGGCGAGTACAGGGGTAACCTGTACGGCACGGCCCAGGAGAGCATCCTGTCCATCATCAACGCCGGACAGGTCTGCGTGCTGTGTCCCCACTATCAGGTCAGTCAGAGGCGGAAGGAGGGGCGGGTGAGGTGTAACTAGCGAGAAAACTTTTAGTGGGAGAACTGGGGAGGGATGGGGTAGTGAGGTTGAATGACGCATGCATTGCTGAAAGGTTTAACATTGGTCATCCTGATGGGGAAGTGGAGGCATGGTAAATGACAAATGTAACATTTCGTGGTGTTAAAATTAATTTATCGCAATGTACTTATGTTGACAGGCAATTACAATGATTATTTTCCGTAGTCAATTGCTGCAGCAGTATCCTTGGACCACCTGACAGCTTCAGCACGACTCCAGCCTCTTTACCCCGCTCGTTTCCCCGCAGGCGATCAAGATGGTGCGCACTGCCGAGATGAAGCCTTACATCGTGTACGTGAAGCCTCCGCTGTACGATCGTCTGAAGGAGACCCGGGCGGCCAGCTACGCGCGCTCCACCTTCGACCAGACCAGCACACGAGGATTCACGGTGAGGGGAGGAGAGAGTGGAGGACGGCGGGGGGGGGGGTAAGGGACGGGGGACTGCTCTGGGTATGTTGGGACGAACGTAGAACGATCCTACCGTGTGCCAACTTTTCTGTCTGCCAATATGGCAAACGTGTGTATAATAAATGCGACTGTGAACGTATAGCTATGAAGATCACGGGGTTTTGTGGGGTTTATATGGAATTACTCAATCGGGTACTGTTAGCTGTGGTTAGTGAGCTAAATGAGTTCGACCTTGTAGCGAAAAGGTCACCGTGTCAGGCAGTCGTGAAATATTCATCTAAGGCCAACACCGGACCCAATTATAGCTGGCACGGTAGTAACTCAGTCTTTTAGTTCGATATTGCCTGTTCGAATGTGGCACAGTCTCTAACATTTGGGCTGTCTAAACTGGGATGACTGAGGTCGAAAACAATCCATGTTTGACTAGACGAGGTGGGTCAATACTCAATACCTATCACTGAATCAATCGGGGAATAAATACACATGCTTGTAATGAAATGTCTGTCCCGCTCAGAGTGAATACTATGTAGTTGCTCTCACGACATCCTGTCCAGTGGCCGATGTGTACTATTATGATCGCATTGGGAAATCATTTCTCAAAGTGAATTGTTCATCACTTGACTAACGTCTCATGCGGCGCACTGTTGCTTGTCAAGCGAAGTGTATATCGGTTGTCCGTCACATCTGACCCCTTCCATCCCCCCCCCCCCCCTCCGCGACAGGATGACGAGCTGCGCGACATGTTGCACTCGGCCGCCCGGCTGGAGTTCCACTACGGCCACCTGTTCGACGAGACCATCGTCAACGACGACCTGTCGACGGCCGTGGCGCAGTTGCTGCGCACGGCGCGTCGCGTCGAGACGGAGCCCCTCTGGGTGCCCGCCAGCTGGGTGCAATAGAGCTGCCGGCGGCTCCGGACGTCGAGGCTCCGGTGTGAGACAGGGCTGCGCCGGGGCTCTTCACTGCCAGGTCCGCGGCGCCCGGTCGGACGGGGGAGATGTGAGCCTCGTCTCGTCTCTTTCCGTCTCGTCTCCGGGCGGGAGATACTCAGCTGTTGGACGGGGCGGTACGGACGGCCTCGGTGAGACAGATTCTTCCTGCGTCGGGGGCGGCGGTCGTGGTGAGGCGCCCAGGCTCAAACCCTGACCGCCGGCGCCGATGTCGGCTGATCGCGGCCGCTCGCGAGGGACTGCAGACTGTTCCACTGCCGCCGCTGCTGCCTCGGACGTCTACAGAGATTCCTGACACGCTGGCCAGTTGGAACCGCCGCTCCTCAGTTAGGTCTCTCCGTGAGTAACTCCAATCGCCTCTGGGGCGATCGGAGACGCAGTAGGGTGCAGACAAACGACTGGCTTCCACGCCTTACTGGCAGAAAATCGGGAGGGCATTGAATCCCGAAAACGAAATGAGACTTTCTGTCTCCTTGTTCATATCCAGGAGCTTGACTCTGCGGCGGCCGACGGGGCTCTCTCGTCAAACTCTGTCGAGCTGACGCTTCAGACCAGAGGTCGGATTGCGTTTGTTTACTGGAGTACGGCGTCCCCGTCGGCCTCTCGGGCTGACGTGGACGGCCTTTAGTCGTTTCCCAAAGACGCGCGGATGACCGGTGTAGGCGGTAGAGTGAGTGTAGTGATTCGTAGCGGTGCCGGCGGGTAGGATTGTGTGTGGTAGCAGGCAATGAGGTGGAGAGCAGTGGTCGTGCTAGAGCTGAACTTGTTCCGGGCGGAATAACTCGGGAAAAGGGGAGAGGCCAGTGGCCTCAGGGCATCTACCGGCAAACTGGGCGTAAGTGTAGGTCTTGGCTGGCTATAGTGAAGAAAACGTTTCGGTTTCATGACGTCTTAAAATCATTGTTGATCACGGCTGCTTATTTGCTGATGGGAGTTTTATGGATGTCTTTGACAAGGAAGCATTTCACGGAATGACATTTGAACAAGCCGGTCATTTGGAGAGTATCCAGGTAGCTCGCTTTCTTTTAGTTTGCTTAGACTGTTGTTATCTTTTGAATTAAACATCTGGATAGTAGATAGCATTATGGAATTTTTATCAGACGAATGTAAAACACTTCATTTTTGTTGTTGCTGCCCCAAGGGCGATTATATGAAGATATTTTTCGACATTTTAGTACATAGCTCGACATTAGCCGTTGATCGTACGTTTGCAGGTCGGTAGTAAGAGAAATGCTGCGGTGGGATAGCCAGCAATCAATCATTCATAGCACTGTAGCTCATTTTACACGATCATACGATATTGACACATTGTGTTCACGTCAGTAATAGTTACTTGCTGTCACCACGCTTGTTACGACCGATGTATTTTCGCTCCACAGCCGCGTGCAATCTGTTTTAACCTTTTGTGACGGCATGTTTGTTGTTTGATGACACTCCATAGTCAGTAGCGCAAATATTTCAGTCACTTATTCTGATGTGTTCGAATTTTATCTTGATAAGTTTCGATGTATTTTATGTGCATGAATTTGTTAGTGATATTGTCAATGAACTTCGGGCTTGAATATTTTGTTTTGAGCTGGGCTCTATGATTATGCACAGGGAGAGCTTTGTTGCTACATTGCATATGTTGCACGTTAGTGAAAAGCACGGACAGTATTCATCGCTGTTATTGTTTGCATCGCACTGTACGCTGTTATATTTTAAGTCACGACATGCACGCTAGTTTGATATATTATTAGTTTGTTGGCTCTTAGCTGCGGCCAGATTCAGGAGCAGAGCTGTTTCGTCATGTTGCTTACGTGATTGAAGAGCGGCCGCACATTAAAGCTAACGAACTGTCTGAAGTAATAGACGATCAGTGTCTGATTTCTTTCCTCTATGAGAGATAAGGCGACGTGTCTGGCGCTCACACATCCCGATTGTCTCACTTATTTGTACTGAATTTCGATATTGACAAACGGCCGAACTGGTGAATGTTTGTTGCGTCTAGGAAACGGGTAGAGCCTTACGAACAAACTCCGATCAAAAGTGGCGGCGAGCTGACATTGGCCTGTGTTCGATTCTGTTCTCAGGGTCTGTGTGTGTAGTGAGTGCCGTGCGCGTGCTGGGTACTGTGTTCACTAGTGAGGTGCTCCTCCTTGGGGAATGCCTCACTCGGTCCTGACGAATATAGACCTAGGCAATGTGTGAGAGGCGCCGCGACGATGCTAGATCGGCCTTTGCAGTCCTGTGGTGGTGCGGTCGGCAGCAATAGGCCTTTTCGCGGCGAGTGATCTGCTAGCTTGAGCTCGACCGATGGTACAGTCAACCTTGTCTCGTTCTAGATCTGACCCGTCCTTCGATTTATGTCGCGACCCTTTTTCACGGTGACGATTATCAGAATCGTTCCGCGCAGGTTGCAAGTGTTCACAGCCTCGTTCATTGCAACTTTGTCTTCATTTTCGGCCACTCGGCTGTCTCCCTTTCCTAGTACATTTCCAGTGACTGCCGGCTTCTGTGGGCGGCTTGTCATGACATAGTGAGACGCCTGCTGCATGACACAGGGCGCCTAGCGTTCTGAGAGGGCCGGCCGACCCATGACATACCTTGTACTGTGTGAGCGAGCCGCCCAGGCCTGCGTAGACGCTTATCTCGGTGTTCTCTTCCCGACTTGTCCTGTGAGCTCGGCCCGGGCGTGTGTCGTAGTGGCGGGCCGGCCGGCTGCGGTAGGGGCCGGGCCGAGTGGTCGCCCGCTGTGTCTGTCTCCCCGAGTATTGAGCGCCTTCCATGGTGGGGCGGCGGTAGCGGCGGACCGCGGTGCGTCTCGGCGGCAGCGCGAGGACCAGTGCCGGACGCCCACAGTCGCGAGTCTGTGCTGTTCGTAATGCCGCTCGTAGAATGATATACCTCCGCTTGTTTGGTGTTCATTATCGATTCCCAATAAAGGTTACCCGGTAGGTCGGTGTTTTGTTTTAGTACCGGACAGGTTTGAATTGAAGGGTTCTATTGAGGAAAGGCCGTCAGGGAAGGCGAGGGAGGGTATCACGATTTGTTTGTAACGTGTTGTGTTTGTCAGTGGGACATCTGTTTATAAGACATCGATACCTCTTGCGCCTTACCTCCATTCACCACAAGGCCGTGTAAGAGTTTTACCACGCGCATGATCCTCCTCAATTATGCTCCTCAAACTCAATGCTCAAGTTTTCTATTTATCTTCCCGCACTATAGCACAATATGGTAGCCCTCAAGGCATACATAGATGACGCGATTGGTACGAAACTGGAGCACAATGAAAACAAATCAAATGAAAATGAAATGAAATGAAATGTGTTTTGGTTTGGTGTGGTGTTTCAATTCAAATTTATTTCGATTGAAGTCAATATAATGTAATAATGTAATGACGTAAGTCATTTCCAGGCGTTAAGATCAGTTAAGATATTTGGGAAGCACACTAACTAAGTAACTAGTAAAGGGATTTGCACTAACCAATGTGTTGAAAAATGTCGAAAAGACTTGCGAATCAAGAAAGTAGGGTGACAGATTTGGACGATTTGAATGCTAAGAAATTTAAGTCTCAGGCTGATTCCCATGCTGATGCTGAAACTCAAGTCCGAAATCACGCCTTAATTAGCAAAACTACTAAATCCTGGTGAGTTTTGGATGGCAAGAGTCATTAGACATGCTGTAGGTCCTAGACAGCAAAGGCGAGTGCGAACATGAATTGAACAAGCTACAACTTGACAAGCTACAGCTATATCTTTTATTTTGAACAAATTAAGACACTTGACTCTGAACTATTGCAATTGGATGTGGTTAGTTTTTATGTAGGTCCCAGTATTGTTTCTTTCTAAGTTTTTTTCAAAATCGGTTGTCTATGATAAATGTGCATATTTCTGATTACAGCAATTCTGAGATGTCAATAAATGGCAATGGCGATGACGCAGGCTCAAAGAAAGGCAACCAACAAAACTTTGAGAAGCCTGGCACTGAGGTAAGCACAAGGAAAGTTAAAGGGACCCTCCCACCTTCAAAAAAGTTAATGAATTGGCATGAAAGTGGTGTCGCTCGGTTCAGAAAGAGCAAAAACGAATATCTGCCAAATTTCATCGAAAAATATTCACCGGTTTTCAAGATATTAGACTTTTACTTTTGTTTACTTTTTGGGATCTCCGCTGTTCCTAGCGACTTTATTTGAAAGTGCGGCATTTGTTGCGCGCAAAGCAGCATATACCACCGCGTGCTACCAAACGTTTTAGTAAAACATTTAAAAATCGTTAGATCTCCGCTGACGTCACAAATTCTAAGGGGGCATACCAATGCATTAGCCCCTTAGAATCCGAAAACTGCAAGTTTGAAATTCCATATCTCCGAATTAAAGCATTTTTCGATGTTGTGAGTGCCCAAACCGGTATTTTCAGGCCATGGCCACCAATTTGGCTATCTCAACTCAAAACTAATGTTAAGGTGGGATGGTCACTTTAAACTATTGTAGTCAATATTTTGATTTGGTCAATTGTAGTGAGTGCCTTTCACCATAGTACATGCTTAGTTCTTATGCTTTTGCTCCTTTTGGGTTATTATTTGTCATTTGAAGAAAATAGCTCTACAAAGTTTTGCTCACATTTACTTATCATTTCAGGGGCTTTCCCACACCACTCTCTGACAGTTCTGGTTACAACCAACCTCTCCTTCACAGCTGAAGATACCCCCGTCCAACCCAGCCGTCGATCGCGACTATTTTGCCTCATACAGCGGGCTGGACATCCACCGTACGATGATCGACGACTCTGCGCGCACACAGGCCTACCGGCACGCCATCCTCACCAACTACCCGCTCTTCTACGGGAAGGTGGTTCTGGACGTGGGCTGCGGCACCGGCATCCTGAGCGTGTTCTGCTGCCTGGCCGGCGCCCGGCGAGTGTACGCCGTCGATGCCAGCGGTGCGGCCGAGTTCGCGCGCGCTGTGGCGGCCGAGAACGGCTACTCGGACCGTATTCGCGTGCTGCAGTGCCGCGCGGAGGAGGCTGAACTCCCGGAGCAGGTGGATGTGATCGTCAGCGAGTGGATGGGCCACGCGCTGCTGTACGAGTCCATGCTGGACTCGGTGCTGGTGGCGCGCGACCGCTGGCTGCGGCCCGGTGGCGCGCTGTTCCCCGAGCGTGCCGTTCTGAGGATGGCGCTGTGCACTGCACCGGAGCTGGCGCTGGAGACCGGCGGCGCGCAGTTTTGGCGCGGCGTGTACGACCGGTACAAGGTGAGGATGACCTGCCTGGCGGAGGTGGAGGAGCGGCGCCGCTGGAGCGACCTCCCGGCCCGCGTCTGCGCGCTCCTTCCCGAGGAGCTGCACTCGCACGCGGCCACAGTGTGTGATCTGAACCTCCGCACGGTACGAGCAGAGGAACTCCGCGAGCTGCGCGCTCCGGCAGTCGAACTGCAAAGCTTCGGGCGCGCGCAGCTGACGGGCCTCGCGCTGTGGTTTGACGTGCACTTCCCGGGCGGAGACGAGCTGAGTACGTCCCCGTACGTCACGGAGACCCACTGGGGTCAGACGGTGCTACCTCTGGAGCCGGTGAACGTCGACCAGGACTCGACAGTGCAGTGTCCGATGGTTATGAGGCCAGACCCGAAACACCCGAGAAACTGGCGGTTTAGTGTCGACCTCGCTGTGGGGGACGGGGATTCCAGAAGTATTCAGTGGGTTATGGACGGCACTGGATAAAGGGCTAGTGGAGGGCTGCTAGGATACCGTGATAAGTCATGTGAATGGGCTCTCCTCAATGGGAAACCGCGTGGCGTGTTGAGCGTTGTCATTTTGATAATCTATATTTTATAAAAAGTTGCGAATTGGTTGCGAGTGTACCTAAGAAAATACATTGGTGCACGCGCCATTAGTGGTCATCAATTACTCCAGCAACTTCCAACCGCTTCCTGTCCAAACTGCCCATATGCTGCCGTTTTGTGTTTCATTGCATTCCCGAGACTTCGTCGAGCCTAATAGCGCGGCACCTGTTTCCCCACGTCTGTCCAAGCCAGGACTCCGCCAGCTCCACAGCGAGTCACACGCACCTTCGCCCCCCACTTTTAAAACAAAACTATTTCACATATCGTTTTATTCATTCAGTTTCTCCGTGGAATTGACCGCAACCATGCCGTACAATACACACACACGCACACAGTCTGTGCCCGGCGCGGCGCGACACCCACGGCTGTACAAACATTACAGAGAGGACACCGGCCGCGCCGGCGGACCGCCCGCGCGCGCGCGCGCCCAGCGCCCCCTGAATAAATAGCGCGCGCGCGCCGCGCACGACCGCCGGCCGGTCCGCTCGCCCGGGGCAGTGGCGCCGCCACCGGCGCCGGCGGCTTCGCGGGCCGCGCGACACTCAACAGTCGGGGACGCCAGCGTGAAGTGAACTAAGACACAGCGTCGAGGACCAGATAAAAGCTAAAAGGCCGGCCGGCGCGGATGGTGGCCCCTGAGAGGGTGGGGAGGCGGCGCGGCGCCCGGCGGCGGCCGCCCGCTCGGCCTGCTGGTCGTGGAATGTGTGGCGGCGGCTATCACAAGGTTGGGTGGCGCGCAATGTGACCGCCGCCGTCGCTAGGTGTCGGACATGAACGAGTTCTGAGACTTGAGCTCGTCCAGCTCGTGGATCTGCTGTCGCAGGAAGAGGATCCTGAAACAGACGCACACACAGACGGATCGCATCAGACAGGGGGAAGGAGTCCAATGCTGATAATGACTGCTGAAAGTTATGTAACTAAATTCAACCGCCGAAATCACCTTGCTGTGGTAGGCCGACGCCTCAACTGAACCCCAGAGGTCAAAATGAACCAAAATCTGTCCAAATCGAACCAAAATTTCATTTGAAATCAAATGAGCAGCTGAGTACAACCACACAATATCCCAATGAACATCATACCCCAGAACAAGACGGCCATATATTTGCTTCTGTAGCGCGCCATAAATCTCGGCCAGTCTCTTACCTTTGTTCCTGTAGCGTGGCCTGAATCTCTGCCAGTCTCACTAAAGAGCGGGCCATCTTGAGGTCGGTGGCCGCCTTGGTCATCAGCAGGCTGGCCACGTGGCACGCCTCGGCGCTGGTTCGGTTGGCCTGCGCAGTCAGGGGAGAGCAATGGTCAGTCAACAGCAGACCAATGACGACCGAAGGTAGCGTGAGAAAATAAAGCTCGGAGAAGGACGTAAGAGGCGTGACAACAGCGCAAGCCACCAAAAAGCCCAATAAATAAAGAAGGCGAAAGAAATGTGATGGTGAGCAGGTTCGTCAATGCAGGTAAATAACCAGAAAGCCCAACGCAGCCCAGCAGCAGCTGGGTCAGTTCATGAGAGGTACAGTCACATGACAATGCCTGGCGGAAGCAGGATAAGTGATTTCGACAAACCCTGTCCATTGATCCGCATTACAAATAGCAGTAATTGCCCTCCACTTCTGCCACGATTCTTTAACCACCCACCCACCACCCAGCCACGATGACCTTCCCCAAACCTCTGTTCGGACGGACACCCGAATGAACCGGATGAGCCAGCTCACCTGTTTCTCCATCAGCGTGGCCGGCCACTGGACCACGTGCTGGATCAGGTTCTCGCTGTAGTATTGGAAATGAGCCGGCGTGAGCTGCGGCGCCACGGCCGGCCGCAGCGCCGCCAGACTCGACTGCTGCAGGCTGCTGATGCTGCTGCACGGACTCGCCACTGCGCGACGGAGCAGGGCGGGGGGGGGGGGGCGTCAGGGCACGAAAACGGGACAACACGAGTGTCCTTCCACTTAACCAGCTTAATAAATGAATATGAGCATTGAGCGCATATTTGACACTACACGACCTGTGAACCAGAATTTTCTCGCCATGACATCCATGGCAGTTAAAATAAATTGAAGAACTTCTAAACGCGGGTAAGAAAACAGAGCATGATCAAACGATAGACACCTGGAAAACCAAACGACCCGTTAGGAGCTCCTGGTAAGAAATTAAAGCTGCACCCAAAGTTCCCAATAGCCGCATAAGGACAACCCTTCCGCCAAGCCGATTTAATTCATCTTCTCCGATTTAATTCATCTTCTCTCGAAGATTTCTGTCGCAGAGTGCGCAGCTCTGAATTCCGCAGCATTATGCGAGAACAGCCGACTGCCCTTGACCACTACCCTCGACCAGGGAATCGATCACCTCAGGGACGTGTCAACTTGGTGTCGACATTACAGCGGTGCGCCGAACCGCATTTACCAATCAGCGGCCAATCGGGTCCAGTTACCGCCGAGCGGCCGGCCGTCCTTCGAGCCCAGTCTCGGCCGTGAACTTATGGTTCCGTGGTCCCTCGTCGTGGCCCATCTCCTCCGAACCGACCTCACAGCCGCCTGCGATACCTTTAGACTGTAGCAACCTCGGCCTACTGATACTTTTGACTTTGATTCGAAGCTCAACTGCGCACTGCACGGTATGTTGGCATGATGAACCGTTGACTGTCGGGTAATAGTTGTTCTGCAGTGTATGGACTCGCTAAATTATCCCTCAATACCAACACAAGTTCACCAAATCAGTCCGCCTACCACCCCTCTACACCAAACGACCAACGAAAGAACCCCACTCAATTCTGTACAGACAGATTTCACTCCCCCTCCCTTTTCCATCTCAATCTGGTTCCTCTTCCTTCTCCTTTCCACTAAAATTCGCACTCCCCCCCCCCTTCCCCGTCCACTCACGGTCGGCTCGCCGGTCGGGCGTGTCCACGGGCTCGGAGAGTGTCGGTGTGGGCGGGCCGCGGTCCTCCGCCGGCGGCGTCTCACCGCCCGGTGCCGCCTCCAGGAGCCGCGGCAGCGCCGCTGACAGGCTGACGGCCGTCAGGCTGGCCAGCCGAGGCGCGGCGGCCTCCGACAGACCGCCGCCGCCGCACGCCGCCTCCTCCGTGGGCGTGCTGTCGCCTGAAGAGATCTCCATGTCCTGCTGTGGGTGCGGAGCGGTCGGGTCCGGTTAGGCTATCATATACCACTGCAGGTCCGGGACGAGGTAAGGTCAGGTCAGATCGTCACACGGGTGGGGGACAGGGCAAGGTCAGATCTTCAGGTCCTACTGCGGCGGTGTTGGATTTCCCGCAGTGGCCCCTGTAGATTACAGCTGGTTACGGGATAAGAGCTTGTGATCTCACCCTCGCAGTACCAGTTGGCAATGCAGCCGACAAGAGGCCAATCAGAGGTGCACACAAACTAAAATATCTTTCAGTTTGTTAGGTGTAACTTGATGTAGGTATTTGATGGAGTATTTGATGGGAGTTTTTCAGTTTTGGAGTATGGAATACAATTTGTAGTATGAAAGGAGTATTTGATGCAGCGCTTTAAATAAGTGTGGTATAATATCTCGTTCTTTGATGATCATCGTTCAGCTCAGCTTTAGTCACTGTGCAAAACACTTGTCTGCTGGTGATTTTGACAGGAAAGGCTGAGGAGTGACGAGGACTAAACCGGGATAGCGCGACAGAGAAATCTTAGTTACTGGTACAACTGTTCAAGCCGGGAAATTCGAGAAGTCGTCTTAATGACCAGTGAACAAGGGCAATAAAGTGGACTTCGATCTGAATATAAATGATGACCAATACAATGCCTCACAAAACCTTTCACACAACAGACGTCGACAACGATACATTTTTTTTAAATAAACTTTTTGATTCCATAAAAGTGCAAAATGCTGCGATGATTCCATGACTTACCACCGCTGCAAGGTTCCAAAAAAAAAAAAACAAGGCGGATTCCGAAAATCCGTGCATCTTAGACATGAGCCACTAACTATGAAATACAGCTCGGCTACATTTGTAATTATCATTCAGCAAACACTCCGCATGAACAGACTAGCCTATACGGCCTTGGACTAGCCTACAGGCATCTTTTTCATCTATGAAAGTTCTTGCATGTATCGACACTTCTCTAACAACCCACACCAGTTCACTTGCTGACACAGGTTATTCGAAAACTAGTAAGACTTCTACGGGGGAATCTGCACACAGAAGACAGCTGTCCAATGTCCACTGTTTGTCACACGGGGGAGCACCACAGGGGGAACGGCGGGGGACGCGTCACAGGGGGAGGATCGGACAAACACAGGGGCCGCTAATTACTAACTGTTACCTACGGGAGGGTCGGCGGAGGGATAGGGAAGCCGGCACCGGACGGAGGCAGGGGAGGCCGGACTGCGCTAGGGAGGGGAGAGAGCTACACGCACTGGCAACTAGCGCTGACCGTGTAGCGGGACGGGAGGCAGGGGAGGCCGTAGGAGGGGAGAGAGCTACACGCGCTGGCAGCTAACGCTGACCGTGTAGCGGAACGGGAGGTAGGGGAGGCCGTAGCAAGGGAGAGAGCTTCACGCGCTGGCAGCTGGAGCTATGTGCAGAAAAGGAAGCTGCTTGGGAGAGGGAAGAGCTTTAAGCGCTGAGAGTGAGGCGGGGAGATTGCTTCACGCGCTGAGGTTGAACTATGTGAAGCGGGGTAGGATTCCGACTGGGAGAGAGCTAAACGCGCTGGCGGCTGGCGCTTCGAAGCGGGGCAGGAAGCCGGCAAGAAAGGGGAAGAGCTATTACGCGCTGGCAGAGAAAGCTGTACGCGCTGAGGCGACTGTGAAGCGGGCAAGAAAGGCCGGCGGGTTCGGAGCTCCGCTCGCTGGCCGCTGTGACTGTGAAGCGGGGCAGGATGCCGCCTGGGGAAGGGAAGCTAACGCTGGCCGCTATGACTGAGGCGGGGCAGGATGCCGCCTGGGAGGGACGGCGGCGAGGAGCGGCGGGGCCAGGACTCACGGGTCTGACGGCGCGCCGGCGGCGCTGCCAGCGGCACCGGCGACTCCTCCCAGCGCGGCGGTGTCTCTGGAACCGGGACACGGAGCCACTCAGCGC